AAATAAGATCAGGCTATTCAAAATATCTAAAACCGACGGATATTATCGTTTGCCATTAATATTAATTTATATTTAGTCATGGAGTCATTACTCATAATCAAATCATTACATATAATCAAAATTGTGCCGCCTACATAAGTCAGATCTGTGATTTATTATGCTTTAAAGACTAAAAGTACGGGCCGGCAACGCGGACCGGGCCAGCTAGTTATACCCTACAACACTATGTGTTGGGGGTATTATAAGTTTGATTGGGCCAGAATTTATGTAACACCTCGAAATATTGGTTTCCCATATAGGAAAGTATATATGGATCTTCCTAGCTCGCCGAGCTGAGTCGATCTAGCTATGTATGTCCGTCCGTCCGTCTGTCCGTCTGTCCATGTTAATTTGTAATCAAGCTACAGGACGCAATTATGAAGCGATCCTCACGAAATTGAAAATGGAGGTGGGGTTAGGGTCCGAATAGAAGCCTATTTCTTTTGGAGATGATCGCCAAATGTTTATGGGTTGAAATGGACCAAATACTGAAAAAATGTCGGATTTTGCAGAAGCTATACAGGTCGCAATTATAGACCAATCGACGCGGATCTTCACATGTAGCTAGAGTTTAGGGCGGGGAAGAAGCCTACCAATTTGGGTGGTCATCGGATAATATTTAGCGGGTAAAATAGACCATATCTTTTTTGTTGAAAAAAATCAAAATTTTTCATTAAACCACGAATATTTTAAATCCCGGCGAAATCACAAAGCCATGACAAGGTTACTTCTGATCTTTACATTGATGTTAAGATCCAACAAATCGGATATATAGCAAAATATGTGCGATATATATGTCTATCAAAGAAGATATGCTTGAAAGATCTCTTATATGTCGAGAACGGCTGAACTGATTTCGAAAGTTCTCATTAATTCAGAATGGCCTCTTGGCAGGAAAGAAAAAACGTCTAAAAAATCGCATAAAAATATCTCTCTAAAGATGAAAATATTGATTTTGTAAAATGTTCTCATATTTTTTCCATTTTGTCATATTTTCATTTTGAATTAAACATTTGGTAATATTTCTACAGCTAACAAAACTAAGTAGTTAGGATATCATATACAGATCGCATTTATGGCCCGATCCTTACGAAATTTTGCATGGGAATAAGATGAGGGTCAGAATAGAAGTCTACTCTTTTTGGAGATGATCGCCATATATTTAGGGTTGAAATGAACCAAAAACTGCAAAATTGTCAGCAGGTCGCAATTATCGCCCGGTCCTCACGCACATTTAAATGGGGGTTACCGGACATTGCAAAAGCCAAGCAGTTTTGGATAGCCATCCAAAAATATTCAATGTGTGAAGGAGTTTGCCAACTTTTGTAGACAAAATACGAAAATGTCCATTCCAGTGACTTTTTGGGGAATTCACAAATACAGGAAAGACGCACTTCTGACTATTTCGTTAACGCTGATTTCGTTGAAGAATATAGTCAAATGTCTGTATCTCATATAGATGCGTTTCAGTCAAAAACCAATAATAAATGTTATTCTTTTGCCACTTCTGAGAGATCATAGGTCTTTTGGGAAATATTGGAAGACCATTTAAGTACAACATCTACCAATAAATTGAAAATGAGCAAATTAGTTTAAATTGCTATTATTCGAATATTGGAGAACGAAACCTGTTGGTTTTCTTTTATTATTTGTCACAATATCTTCTGGAATTCTTTCGAGTATTTGGCCTATAAAAACTGTATGGTTTATTATAGTGTTGTAGGGTATTCAACGGTCGTCCCCGCTCGACTGTAGCCTTTGCTTACTTGTTTTATATTGAATTCAATCGATTTTTTGTAAACAAAATAAAGATTTATTGTCACAATATAAAAGAAAGTTATGTTAGGTACTAGGATTAAAGGCAAGGCTTGACGGATTTTGACAATGCATACAATTTTGGAATGGTATCCTGGCAAAAAAAATCGCGGTAAAATATACCCAGTATATTTAGTAAAAAAAGGATTTATATCCTTCCAGAAACTTTTTCTAAGCTTTCAAGGTATCTTAAATCGCTTTGGCAGGCCATGGTATGTGTCATAACCCCCGGATAAGGGTACAACCCGATTTCAAGTATATATTACATTTTAACCAGATTTGTCATACTAATTTCGGCAAATATTGGTAATTTGAGAAGAAACTAATCTTGCAAAAAATTATCACGTTTTGGTATAACCATCATATGTATGATTGATGCTATTTTCGGGATCTTGAATTTGTTTTTTAATTTTAGGCCTTTATTTGGCATCTTTGTTTCTAAGGGGTAGAAAATCTCTTCTCATAAAATTTTCAATTTTCGGAAAACGGTCCACCTTGGTCTTGACCACATTCATCAATTGATTTGGCAAAAAATTTTATTTCGGCCACTCTTACAGATAATTGTCCATATATGCATTTATTTGAGTATAGTTCCCACATTAGTGTACCCCCAAGTTCACTTTCCCATCCAATGTGTGGTTAGAAAAGAAAATTTTGTATTCAATTGAATTTGAAACTCCCAAGAGAATATTGGTTGGGAACGTACATTTGGAATGTACGTCTATATGACATAAACTCCGAAATTGTGTCAGGATGAAATATGGACTTTATGGGGTCTCCAACGCACAATTTAAATGACAAATGGTAATGGGTGTAAACGAGTAATTATCTTTGACTATTTTGAAATCATTCTGCCCTCAATCATGAGGTGGACAAAACTAAATACAACGCAGCACGGTATTCTAAACAATGGAAATACAAATTCCAAATTACAGCTAATTTGAATGGAAAATGTTGCTAAGCTCTTTACAATACCAAAAATTGAGCTGAGTTTTCACATGGGACTATTATAGAAGTTCTATATCATATAGGTTTTTAACAATCAATTATAGCCTATGGCTGAAAAATGAGATCAGGCTATTGAAAATATCTAAAACCGACGGTAGGTGATTATCTATTATAATTTTTGCCATGAATGAGTTATTTTGCTTATAATAACCAGTAAAAAAAGTCTTAAAGTCGGGCGTATGCCGAACTCGACCTAAGTTTGACAATAATATTACGATGTACCAAGTTTGAATCAAAGCGAATACTCCTTTAGAGAGTTATCGTGCGCACCAGCCAGCCACAGAAACGGACTGACTTCGCTAGATCGACTCCAAATGTCCTGAAACGGATTTGGTCCAAAGAGATCTAGGGTCTAAAACCGTTATTTCGATAAGTCGCGTTTTGGCCGTATCAAATGATGTATACCCTCTCCAGCCATATGGCTAAGGGTATAATTCAATATTGAAAACCGCATCATAAAAAGTTCTACCTGATCATAAAACAAGTAAAAAAAATTTAAAATATTTTGACTTCTCTTATGAATTTTCAAACTCTTGACCCTCTATGAAATGAATGGGTCAATAAAGTCCATCATAAATTCCATATTCATCTCAGGATTCTGGTTGAGAGACATATATTTAGATTTTGCAAGTTGTAAAGAATCGCTGAGTTGTTTCGCAATTTATGACAGATAAAAGTATTGCAAATAGTGTCCGTTTGTGGGTGAGGTATCAGAAGGGATTCGCAGATATATAGCATCTTCACAACAGGTCTGTGTGTGAAATTTGAAGAGAGTTGGATGCTTATTTCGGTTTCATTGAGCGTTATGTTTTTTTCAAAATCTTGAACCCTATGTGGAGCAGGTAGCAAAAGAAATGGCCCGATCTCTAACATATTTATAACAGATTTTGTGTTGATGGAAATATTGGGATGCACCATGTCTGGAATGGAATCGGATGTTGATTTCGCTTTTTTTGAACTTCATGGATATTCAAAACTTTGATCGTTTGTGGGGGAGGTACCAAAAGGAGTTGACCGATATATTTCGACTTACTACAAGATCTTGGGTTCATAAAAATAGTAGGATGTGTGAAATTTGAAAAAATCGGACCCTTACATCATATTTTTATGAGTTATAATTATTCAAAATGTTGATCCTTTGTGGAAGAGGCACTTGGTGGAGTGGACCAATATTATCCATTTTGACACCTGACCTAGAACTGACGCAAATATTAGGATTTGCAAAATTAGAGCAAAATTAGATTATTGTTTCCTTTTCTGTGCAGAAAAAAATATATATATATTTTTTTTTGAAAAATTTGATCTTCTGTGGGGGAGGTACCAGAAGGAGTGGACCGATATACTCCATCTTAACACCGGACCTTGGGCTAATAAAATCATTGGGATATGTGAAATTTGAAAACAATCGGACTCTTAGATTACATTTTATGAGAGATATTGCCCATCTCCGAACTCGATCTAAATTTGACAAAGATATTCCGATGTACCCGATGTACTTCGAGAGTTATCGCGCACACCAGCCAGCCAGACAGACGGACGTGCGGACATCGCTAGATCGACTCCAAATGTTCTGAAACGGATTTGGTCCAAAGAGACCTAGAGTCTAAAACCGTTATTTCGACTAGGCACGTTTTGACCGTATCAAGTGATATATACCCTCTGTAGCCATATGGCTGAGGGTATAAAAAATGTAAATGTATTTTGAGGGATTTCCAGCTAATTCTGACAACAGATTAAAAATGTGGAAAAGTCTAAAAAAACTGTTTAAATCGTACTGTGCTATATCAAAAGTGGTGTATATTAAGTTCGCCTGCGTACTTTTCAATAGCATTCACTCAGTAAGTTCTTTCGAGAGGGTGAGAAAATTCGTAATTGCAAAAAGGCAATAACAAGTTAAATCTTTTTTTAGCAAATTGAAATACATTTGCAGTAAAATTTTTTCCATTCTCAGTATATTCATTTTCCAGTGCAAAAATTGCCAAAAAAAAAACTTCAAATTATTCTTATTTACTGATTTTTTGATAAAAAGACAATATACTGCAACATTTTGTACAAATTATTATCACAGATAAATAAATATGTAAAAAAATTGTTTGTGTCGCTGTGGACAGATTGCAACTTACACAAATTCAACCTACCTGCAGCTGCTGTCATTCGATTGTATAAGTTTCTCTTTTTCTTTTTTAATATTGCATCTAAGTTATAGCCCTCTATAGCCATTCTGGAAGAAAACGAATAACTGAAATGCTTTTATTGCAATTCTTATAAGTCCCGTTTCCTGCTTACTTTTCTATTCTGCTTAAACCTAAAATGTCCTTGAAAACCAAGAAGATCTTGTTTAGTGTCAAATTGGGTAGTCCCTGTCCCAAATACCGTATGAATTTAAGTTGTTCGGATTTGGGTAAACCGCTCTCCGATAAATCCAAAAAGGGTCTATGATCGGCCACCTTATATTCCTAGAAGAGTTCAAAAACGAAAACAACAAAAACAAAGAGAATAAAGAACAAATAGAATGACATTAAATCAAATCCTTTTATGGTTGAAAGTTTCAATAAATTCAAAATATATTGTTCATTCATGGTTTTTTATGGAGAGTGGTGGGTTTTTTGTTTGCTCACATTGCAAAATCTGTTGAAATTTTCGATGAGAATATACTTTTCATAATACGTTACAGTCTGATTTGTTTGAATACCGAACTGTTTTAGTAATTCCTGTTTTTTGGGTGGTAACCTGGACAATTGGGTACAAATTCCATCCTCAATGCGATGCGTCTCATGAACATTGAAATTGTCGAAGATAATAAGATTTTCCAGAGGCCTGGCAGGGGCTGTCTGTGGTCCATTGATTGCAGTTGGTGGCAACATTGTTTGGTTACTGTTCTGATTAATGTCCATAAGGGTAGATGTTGTGGGATGTTGCTGTTGTTGCTGTGACTGTGCTGGTATCAAAGGTGGTGGTTGTAACACATTCAGATTCAAGGACAACGTTGTTACTGATCCACTTGCTGGTGCGATGGTTGCCGATGTCGTCCCTGTTATAGATGCTGGAGCCACAAGGAAATCCATGCTATCATTCGACTGTTGATTGAGAATATTTTTCAGATCTGAAAATAAATACAAATCAAAGAAAACATAAAGAACGTTACTAACACATAACATACAAATATATTGGCAGAAATATTGACATTTGTGTAGTTTTAAAATAATCTTCTATATCTATAAAAGAGGAAGATGTTTGTACGTTTGTTTGTTTGTATGTTACTTTATATCGTGTTTGGTGTACAATATACATGAAATCGGCCGAAATATATATGGTAGCCATATTCATACCTCAACAGATTTCAATATAATATGGCAAATTTTTTTGTTGGGTACCAGATTTCGTCTCTCTGTCTGAATTTCTTTGGAATTGGACATACATATCGCGTTGGGTGCATCAAATATATATATATATATATATATATATATATATATATATATATATATATATATATATATATATATATATATATATATATATATATATATATATATATATATATATATATATATATATATATATATATATATATATATATATATACTAGCTGGCCCGGTCCGCGTTGCCGGCCCGTAGTTTTTGTCTATTATGCATATTTGTCAAAGCATAATTATTCACAGATATGACTGATATAAGTGTTCCCGTACTGGTCGATTAAAAGTGTTTTAAAATAGCTGTACCCATATTTAAGCCGTGGGCTTCAAAGGTGTGGATGTGCTATACAAATTTATTAAAAAGTATATATCAATCTTATCCCCATGTAAGGGATCAAATTAATTTTTAGTATGGTAAAAATCGTAGCAAAATCTTCCAGTGAAATGAGCAGTAATTTGGAATTTGCTGTATTTTGTACACCTCATAATTGAGCGCTGAATGAATTAAGAATAGCCAAAGTTAATTACTTTTTTAAGCCATTAGCACCTCAGATTGTCCATTAGCGTTCTTATAAGTCCCCCTAACCATGTCGGTCTGTTTGTCCGCCAAAAAGTGGACTTGAGGGGGTACTATTATATGGAAAAAATTCTAAAATTTGTAGATATGTTCATATTTTTGTGTAAGTTTTCACCACCCAAATACACATTTTTAGCCAAATCCTTTGAAATATGGTAAAATCAGGAGATACTTTTATATGGGCACTACTCCGAGACATCGACCAACATTGAAAACATTCTTCTAGCCCTTATAATCCAATATGACAAATAGAGACCAAATCAAAAATTTAACAGAACAACATAGCATGTCAAACTGAAAAACATTTCGCGTGATTTAAATGAGTAAAAATAGTTTTATCCACCATATTATCATATAGATGTATTTCCCAAATCTACCTTTCCAACCAATATTCTCTTGAGAGTTACAAATTCAATAGAATACAAAATTTTCTTTTCTGACCACACATTATATGTGAAAGTGGACTTAGGAAAATACTCCAATGTGGGGACTTTACTTAAATAAATTCCTATGTGGCAATTATCTGTATGATGGTTCCCTAACCCCTTAGAGATAAAGATGCCAAATAAGGGCCAAAATATGAAAAAAGTGTCCAAGACCCCAAAAATAGCTTAAATCATATGATGGTTATATAAATATAAAATCGGGTTGTACCCTTATCCGTGAGTTATGATCGATATCATGACCTGCAAAAGTGATTTAAGGTATCTTGAATGTTTGGGAAGAATTCCTGGAAGGATAGAAATCCTTTTCTTACTGAAAGTCCCATTCGCTCTATTATTTTGCACCCTTTAAATTTGGTATTTTACTGAATGTACTTCCAAAGAATTTTGCATTTTGAGCTCTCATTGGACGGATTATTGTCACATGAAAGAAGTAGGTCCACGCTTTGAAATGAGCTCCATTAGGCTTTTTCTGTCATTTTTGGTTGTTTAAATGTGTTCGCAAGTACAAATTTAAAAAAATGACAAAAGAAGAATAACAAATTGAAAAAATCTACAACTTGTTCGCTGATTTATTACAGCAAATGTTTAAAGACCCTTACTATTATTTTAAAATTCGATTCCACTGAAAATCTTTTCGATTTTTTCCCGATTTGAGAATTTTTGCAATGAGATCTCTTTTTCGTGATTTTTTAGCGAATTTGAAAAAGTAATTATCTTTTAATTAATAATTATCTTTCTTTTGGTGTGACCGCGCTAAATTATTTCGATATCATCTATTCCGTTTCGCCACCATATAATTCGGTATTACACTTCCATGTAACCCGCCATCAATTTCAGTTCTCAAGAAATCAAGTCAATTAAATAAAATGGTTTTAATATTCGAATTCAAAAATAAAATATAAAAACACTACAAATGTACATTAGAAAAAAGCCAGTCAAAATAGAAAAAAATCATGCAAAATAAAACATTACTATTGTACATTTGAAAAGTCAAAATGAAAATGTTAATATATCACATTTTTACGCGATTTTTTTGGATATTATCCTTTTCGGAGAGGAGACAACTCCGAATTTGTGTGGATCGTTAAAATCAGTCCAGCGGTTCTTAAGTTATAAGCGTAGTAACTAACACAACTTACATTTATATATATAGATATATATATATATATATATATATATATATATATATATATATATATATATATATATATATATATATATATATATATATATATATACATATATATATATATATGTATATATATCTTAAATGATTTCAACATAACTTCACAAATTTATTTTTGCACCAAATGTAGTCACGCAAGTTAACTTCCGTACCGCCGAAAAATAAGAAAACAAGAATTATTCTGTTTTAGATGCCAAATACAACTGATGCTTTATTCAAAAAATTCTTATATTTAAGCGATTTTACAATTATTGATTTTTCTTAGAGTTAACAAAGAACAAAGGAACATAAAATCTAGAGCTATCAAGAAAATACTTAAGCTAAAAATTTGTATTGGGTACAGTAAAAGTAAACATTTCTTTTTGGGTTATTTCCGTCATAGTTTTATTACTAGTGTTGTTATTGTGATGTTGAAGTGGAGAATTATTGCTGACGAAATAATGTCAACAATATTGGTGTTAGCTCTTTGGTGCTTATGACAATGTTGTAACTAATAATGATGTTAATAATAATGATATTAATAATAATGATGTTAATAATAATGATGTTAATAATAATGGTGTTAACAATAATGATGTTTTTAATAAATGAGGTTGTGGTTGAAAATAATGAACTTAATAATAATGTTGTTTATTGGTGGCTGTAGGTAACTCCTCCCTCTCCAGAATGAAGTGAGGGCCAAAGGGGCTTCGGATCATTTGTGGCCAGAACTTCATTATTGTTGTGGGTTATGGAGTAGATTAATTTTATAGGCTTTCTTATTACTAATATTATTGATAATATTATGATTATAGAACTAATTATACCAAATGCGGAATAAGAAATTGTTTTGTAATTGTCAGAGTCTGTTTGAAGAAATTCGATATTTGCTTTATTTTGGAATCTGTATTGATCTAGTTTGGGTAATGTTAGTTCGTCTCTTATGGAGAGTGTTGTAATATTGTTTGAGAAGCTAGTTTGGAAGGTTATTGTGCTAATGTTTTCTTGGTGAATATTCGGTTTATCTGTATACCAGACATTATTAAATAAGATTTTGCATTCATTAAAATTAATAACAGAGGAAGACTTGATTGGTAGACTCTTAGTTACGTTGTTACATACTGTGGTTATGTTTCCTATTGGAGGGTTTATAAGCACTAGGTAATTTGGTTCTGGATATATTATGTCCGTAGTTAATCCTATGTCTCTAAGGTGACATGCCACCGTTTCTTCTCTAAGCAAAATTGATTTTAGGCAATCTCTATTTCTTTCGTATTGAGTTTCATAGTTGCAGTAAAATTTTTGTTCTATTTGTTTGCATCGGTTGTCGAAAAGATAAAGGTTATCATTGTTTATTAAAGCGTATTCACCGGTTATTATTTCTAAGGTGTTATTTATGGGGGTTTTGATTATGTGTAATAATTTAAATAGTTCATTAGAAATTATAGGAATTTGTATGTCAAATATTATGTTTGTGTCGTTATAATATGCTGTCAGTTGTAGTAATTCATATATATGTTCTGGTGATATAATGTCCGTTGCATTGTTAAGTATGTTGTGTATTTCATTCAGTTCGTCAGTAGTTAATATTAATTTTGGGACGGTGTTAAGCCTTGCTAATACTACTGATTCTGCGATATCATTAAGGTGGTCGGTAAGTATATCTATGTTAAAACTGATTTGAAGTAAATTTTGCATTTGGATTATTGCATTAACCGAGGGGTTTATGGCATTTCTTGTCTGGTTTTGAATCATCATTATAGAACGTTCTATTAGGTTTTGTTCTTCATTTATGTGATTGGTAATGTTTTCGAATCTTGTTATCATTTTGTTATTTAACATCATTTGGTTTTTAAGCGTTGTTTTTATTTGGGTATTTCCTCTAGTTAAATTGTCAATGTTTTTATTTAGTTCTTCTGCATCTTTGTAGTCCATATTTCCCGTTATGAATTTGATTGCTGATCCTAAGGCATTTACAAGTCCCCGTTTTTTCCTATAATTTGGGGTTAATATATCCAATTTGGCTGAGAGATTATTCAGTTTCAGTTTCGTAGTTCTAAGTTGTGATGCTGTAAATCTTGTCTCCTCTATTCGATCCAAAGTTTGCTTTATAGTGTTAATATTGTCGTTATATGTTTTAAGGTTAATAACATGGATTAGATGTTGAAAGTCTGTGATTAATTTAGCATCGCCTAGTTGTAGTGGTATAAGTCCCTGAGTCTGCGTTATGTTTGTTATTGTGACGTCGGATTGTACAGGTACGAACCTAAAAGACAAATAGAAGTCAGTTTATGTAAGACGTTTTCTTTTAATTTTGGCTTTATGTAGTTTTTGGTTATTTGACGTTATCAGCGTCACTTTCTTGTTTTCCTTGACTACCCTCTTTGAGAAGCGAGGGGTCATTTTGTTCCTCCCTGATTCCCTTCTGTATATTGTCTGGTTTTCAGTTAAATCTTCTGGTTCTTCCCTATTTGCGTTTAGTTTTTTTATACGTTT